GAGGAGTGGAGCTGTCTGTGCCTCCTGAGGTCCATGATGAGTTCTTTGGTCTTAGGGTCGTTCAGCTCCAGCGGGACAACTCCTCTACCTCCACCCTACAGGGTGACATCACCACGATGATGTCATCACGGTGGTCATCAACATACTTCACTGTGTGGCACATTTGTCTTTTTGCTTTCTGTGGTTTTGTTTTCTGTGCATTTGGTCCTCAGCAGGTTTTTGCCTCTGACTTTGTCTCTTTTGAGACACGTCCGGTTGTTTTAGGCTGTTGGATGTAAAGCAGGAGGGCGTGGCTGTTTGGAGCCTGAGATCTGGTATTTTGTCTTTCCCGGTCTTGTTGTTTGTCCGGTTCCTTCAGGGTTCTTGAGTCTTTTTGGGTCTTTGTGTTTGTGAGCTCTGTATGTATTTTCTGGTGGTTTAAATTCTCATGTGGCTGACTTTGTCATTTCGCTTTCTTTCCCTCTTTGTCGGGCAGTTTTGTGTCTCAGTTTGCCATTTTCGGTCATGTTGTGATTTGTATGCTTGCTTTGTCTGCGGTCAGAGGTCAGAGGTCAGAGGTCAGTGTACCTGTGGCGTCTCACCTGCAGGTAAAGAATCCAAAGGCAGGCGTGGGATTAGAAACGTGCATGACTGTAAAATAAAATGCAGACCTGAGCTCGCTGATTCTCCCTCCATCCGCAGAAGAAGAAGCTGTAAAAAGGAGTCGAGCAGAGTCCAACTGTTTGTTTCTCATTACACTAAAACTAGCATCGCTTTAGCTGCTCTAGTTTAGTTACAGTTCAGTCTTAGTTCCCGGGGGCCGCGCTGCAGCCCGTCCACAGTGGGCTGGTGCTCCTGACTTTATTTTCTATCTGGTTTGTTCAACAGTAAAAATCTGATGAAGTCATAATTAGGTAAAGTGTGTCCCTGAGAGGGGACGTCATCTCCTGAGCTTCCTTGTGTCTGTGGATGAAACAGCATTAGTCTGACTGCAGAGACGCTGCAGCCGCTCCTCCCTTCGTTTTATCACATCTGATGTTCATTCAAACCAAAGTAGAACCACAGAGGTCAAGAAGCTGCCTGAGAGTCTGCCTGTTTCTCCGTTTCCTTCGCCCTCGCCGTGATCAGCGGCGGCTCACCTGAGCATCGATGACTCACTGCAGGCTGGAGCCGCTCTCACAGAGTTCTGCTGCTTTCACCGATTTCACTAAAAACAATAAGAGAAATACTAAAAACACAGACACACATTGTTTACATGC